CTCCCTTCACTTCTCAATCCCTATCAACAAACTATTGATAACCAAACAAAATCTATAGAATACAATTTTGAGTAATATACTGCCCATTGGATATACTGTATAATATATATATATATATATATATATATATATATATATATATACCTGTATATATATATATATATGTGCCTAAAACTAACAACAAACATAGATTCCATATTTTGTAGCAATTTAATCGTTCCTCTGACTGTCACAGCCTATGTCTCATGCGGGAAAGCTAACGTTGGCTAACCCTATCATCTTCTAACAGAGCATGCCTAGTCTTACCTTATCACCACCTCTTCATGGTGTGCCTCATCACCAAGTAAGAAAAAGGTCCCTTTTTTTTGTTTTTTCCTTTGTTTGGTTTTTTACTTCATGATCTTGTCTTCCACAGAAATTAAAACACTATTCTGTGTTTGCTTATAAGCCATGTGCTATAAGCATGGCTAAGAAATAATGTATGATCACAGTTTCACTGTGAACAATGGCATCTAATGCATCTCTAAGCTATCTTGAACAATGAATAGTCATGGATAATGATAAATTACCAAATATTATTTTAAAGCTTGGGTATCTGCTTGCCCTTATTTCATGAGGGGTGCCAAAATGAAGGGTATTTGTCAGCACCTTTAACTGCAGCATGTCGAGTTTCTCCGTGGGTCGGAGAGGGTTCAGCGAGGCGAATAACCACCAACACTAACACCAGATGAGGGACTGGTTGCCAGGTTGGTGTTGCTAAAGGTTTCTGTTATTTCCTTCAAACCACCACTTGAGTCTCCATTTTGACAGTTTTCAATAACTCTGTTGACAAATTCTGTTGTGTGACCAGCAATCCTGTGTTCTGCAAAGAAAAAATTTATATATTTTTTCACTGCGATATATATATATGTACAGTACAGTATATTGCAATAAAATCACAATGGCATGATATATCAATGAAAATCAGTGATTTTATATATACACACACACACACACACACACACAGTGTGTGTGTGTGTGTGTGTGATAGAGTAGTTAACGGATGGAATGCATTAGGCAGCGATGTGGTGGAGGCTGACTCTATACACAGTTTCAAATGTAGATATGATAGAACCAAGTAGGCTCAGGAATCTGTACACCAGTTGATGGGACCAATGAGCCAAAGCTCAACCCCTGCAAGCACAAATAGGTGAGTACACACACACACACATGCTACTAAGTGGCTCTCAGAACTGAAGGGCAAGAGCTACGAGGAGAGGTTAGAGGCATTACATATGCCAAAACTAGAAGACAGAAGAAAAAGAGGTGATATGATCACTACATACAAAATAGTAACAGGAACTGATAAAATCGATAGGGAAGATTTCCTGAGACCTGGAACTTTAAGAACAAGAGGTCATAGATTTAAACTAGCTAAACACAGATGCCGAAGAAATATAAGAAAATTCACCTTCGCAAATAGAGTGGTAGACGGTTGGAACAAGTTAACACTTTCGCGCTCTCCGCGAAGGTCTCTCAGCCAACCGTAAGTGCTCAGAGCGTTTTGCCGCGTAAGCGTAAAAACAAAAATGTGTATACTCTTTTTACTCTCATGACCTTAGTTCTCGAGCTACGTATTTCATTTTGGTACCAACGTGTTCGCAATAAAATTCTCTAGAAGAACATCAGTAAAAAAAAGTCACGAAACGTATAGGGATACCAGCACCAAATAAATAACTATGAAGATGACTCGCCGTAAGCGCCCAACAGCAACAAAATGTTTTTACTCTTGGGATTGTTATCACCTCCACACTTGTTCTACAGCGTTAATTTTGGTATCAATGGACTCACAATGAAATTCCCAACACGGTGATATGAATATAAGCGTAGAATAATGATGCGGCCCGCCCGCAAGAGTGTGGGAAGTGGTGAAATTGTTACCCGGTATCGGTGACGGGACGACGCACGGCGCTTTGAAAGTTTATACTTATTTCACTCTCATGACATTTATTTTCTATATACGTCATTCATTTTTGTGTCAATGTGTTTGCAATAGAATGTTCTATGAGCCCATAGGTAAAAAAGATCAACAAAGCATAAGATAGAATAGCGCCAAATATAAAACAACGCTGGAACATATCAGTGAGCGTCAAATACACACGAAATGTTTTTACTTTTGTTATGTTTGTCAAGTTTATACTTGTTGCACACAGTTATTTTTGGTTGTACATTGATCGAAATAAAATTCCCTAAACAGACATATGCATATAATACATGATATGGGGGAAGCATTACCAGTATAAACGGCTAAAGTCACCCACCTGCAACCCGTTTGGGACATAATACCATTTGATCAAAGTGGTCCACACCTTTCATGAACTTATTGTACCATGCAGCCTAGTGGTGAGAAAGAGAGCCTCATGGCGCGCAGTTTGAAACAAACCCAAAGTAAATCGGATAAAAATTGAATTTTATACAAATATTTTAAAAGAGGACATAACTTTATGTCCACTATGCGTTAGCGTTAGACGAAACAGGACTCACCGGTGAGTCCGGTTAGCGCGAAAGTGTTAAGTGAGAAGGTGGTGGAGGCCAAGACCGTCAGTAGTTTCAAAGCGTTATATGACAAAGAGTGCTGGGAAGACGGGACACCACGAGCGTAGCTCTAATCCTGTAACTACACTTAGGTAATTACACATACACACACACACACACACACACACACACACACACACACACACACACATAATTAGAATTCCAGAGAACAACATTGAGCACATAAAGGTGTCTAGAAACAAAGTGGAAAGAATGCTCAAGGAGCTAAGAACAAAACAGTTGGACCAGATGGAGTTTCACCATCTGAGAGAATGTGCACCTGAGCTCTGCATTCCACTTCAACTGATTTTTTCAGGCATCCCTGTTTACAGGACTTGTAGCTGTAAACCACATGTGAACCTATGTGAACCCATGTGAACTACTGTGATAAACAACTTGTCTTAAATTAGTAAAGTCTGCATCAACGTGATGTCAGAGTCGTGATTCTGTTTTATTACCAACCATGTATTCAGCCATCTTTGCACCGACTGATCACATGCAAAAGTGCCATCTTTGCATTTTATACATCTTTGAACAACGTAAAATGAGCATGTATGTGGAATGATTGGGTTTGGAAGGCTGGCCATTAATGTAAGAATGTACTGTACTACTTATTACCGATCACAGCTGACCAATCACAGTTGAAAGGTCCAAAAGTAGCACCAGATCAAACTTAATTCCAAGGCATTCCAAGGGAGTGCGCAGTAATACTGAAAAGTGCATAATCTTTTCAATTATGTCACCTCAATTCTCATCCTAGGTTTTTCATTTTGGAATCAATGTGTTTGCAATAGAATTCCCTATAGGAATATATGCATATAAAGTCCAAAAGCCCGGCGTACCACCCACAACAAACCAAGAAATTGGCAGCATGTTGCCCGTGAGCGCGCAAAAGCAATAAAATGTGTATACTCTATTCACTTTGGTCACCTCAATTCTCGTTCTAAGTCTTACATTTTGATATCAATGTGTTCATAATAGAATTCCCTACAGGAGTATATGCATATAATGTCCAAAACCGCCGCATGCTCTACCCGCAGCCAAGCTAAAAGCAAGCCATGTGAGCGTACACCCATTGGCCTACCCGTTACACGCCCATATCCAGCTCACAAATGTTTAGTATTTTTTCGTTGATAACAACAATTTTCGTGTTACAGCGCTCATTTTGGTATCAAGTTGTTCCCAATAGAATGCTTTAAAAGGATATATATGCATATAAGGGCAACTGGAAGAACAACATTACCAATACGATAAGATAAAGTATAACCCACAATATAAAATGTATAAGAAACAAAAACTTTTTGTACTTGCAATCCAATGATGTTTGTAGAACATGATATGAGTTGAGCATTAGGGTTTTATCCACTCCAACTGCTCCAGGAAAACGTTTTCTAAAGATTTTCAACCTATGTTTTATCGGTGGAGTGGATGATGGGCAAGCATTACTGCTTATCCATCCAGGATTGTTTCTTGCAATGGTATTTGCTCATATGCTTTTTGCTTCAAGCAGCAATTCACTCAGTCGAACCGAGTTATAGTAGTTATCCATATACAGTGGTACCTCGGAATGCGATTGTCCCTGTATGCGAGGTTTTCGGAAGGCGAGGTGTATTTACTCCAAAAATTTGTCTCGGAAGGCGATGGTTACTTCGGGAGGCGAGTTTGTTGATACGCGTACAGCCGACCTAGCGCGTGGTCGTTCGGCGATCGTCGCCCCTCTGCCCCTCAGTTTACTATTGTCTCGCGCTCAGTGACTACCCCCACATCAATTCTTCTCGCGGATTTACAGTGTTTTGTTGGATTTTTTGGTGATTTGTCTATACAATTTGTTATTATATATCTCACCATGAGTCCCAAGAAAGCCAGTGGTAAGGATAAAGGCCAGAAAGCTCATGTGAGGATGACAATAGAGGAGAAACAAGAGATCATTCGTAAGCATGAGAACGGTACACGTGTTGTTGAACTTTGTAGGCAGTACAAGAAAGCCACATCAACAATATGCACTATACTTAAGAAGAAAAATAAGATTATGAGTGCTAATGTGGCAAAAGGAGTAAGAACATTAACGACACAAAGACCACAAATACTTGAAGAAGTGGAAAAGTTGTTATTAATTTGGATACACGACAAGGAGTTGAGGGGTGATAGTGTTTCGGAGGCCATTATTTGTGAGAAAGCCAGGGTGTTGCACGAAGACCTTCTAAAGAAGACCCCTGCAACGAGTGATGCAGATAAGAAAGAGTTTAAGGCAAGCAGGGGCTGGTTTGAAAAATTTAGAAAGAGAAGTGGTATCCATAGTGTTACAAGGCATGGGGAGGCAGCCAGCTCAGACAAACCAGCCGCTGGACGATTTATTGACGAATTTAAAGTTTGCAGAGACTGGGGAATACCTACCGCAACAAGTGTTTAATTGTGACGAAACAGGACTGTTTTGGAAAAGAATGCCTAAGAGGACATACATTACCAAGGAGGAAAAATCCTTGCCTGGACACAAGCCTATGAAAGATAGGTTTACGCTTGTGCTGTGTTCAAATGCGAGTGGCGATTTGAAAATTAAACCCTTGCTAGTGTATCATTCTGAAAATCCAAGGGTTTTCAAACATTGTTTAATTTGAAAATTAAACCCTTGCTAGTGTATCTTTCTGAAAATCCAAGGGTTTTCAAACAGTATAATGTGCAGAAAACCCGTTTGTCTGTGATGTGGAAGTCTAATAAAAAAGCATGGGTCACTAGGCTTATTTTTTCGGAGTGGGTGAATGAAGTGGTGTGCCCTGCCATAGAAAAATATCTGCAGGAGAAACAATTGCCACTCAAAGCCGTGCTTCTCCTTGACAATGCTCCTGCTCATCCTCCAGGCTTGGAAGATGATTTGATGCCTCAATACAATAAATTCCTCACAGTTAAATTCCTTCCTCCTAACACCACTCTTCTAATTCAGCCTATGGACCAGAAAATCATAGCGAATTTTAAGAAACTTTATGAAAGGGCACTTTTCCGGAAATGTTTTGAAGTGACTGAAGCCACAAACCTCACCCTCAAAGAGTTCTGGAGAGAGCATTTTAACATTTGTAGTGCTTTAAAACTTGTTGACAAAGCCTGGCAAGAAGTGACTCAAAGAACCCTGATCTCTGGCTGGAGAAAATTGTGGCCTGAAGGTGTGAGAGAACTAGACTTTGAGGGGTTTGAGCCTATAAATGATGAGCCTATTGTTGAGGAAATTGTTAGTCTAGGCCAGCAAATGGGCTTGGAATTGGATGGTGATGATGTGGAGGAGTTGGTGGAAGAACACAACGAAGAACTGACCACCGAAGAACTCCTAGCCCTTCAACAGGAACAGCAAGCCAACACAGCAGCGAATGATTCTGCAGTGGAGGAGGAGGTGGCAGCAGCACCAACAGCACCAGCGAGTGTCCCTTCTGCAGTAATTAAGAAGGTGTGTCAGATGTGGGAAGAGATTCAAACAACTATTGAACATACTCACCCAGACAAAGCTGTAGTAGGCCGTTTTCTTAATCTTTTCAATGACAATGTGATGCCTTACTACAGAGAGAGCTTGCGAAGAAGGGAAAAGCAAGCTTCCATGGACAAATTTGTGGTGAGGAAATCGAGCAGTGAGCCTCAACCAGGACCTAGTGGCACTCAGGTTAAACGTCCCAGGGAGAGCACACCAGAAAGGTCCTCACTGCCTGATGTGATTATGGAAGGGGACTCCCCTTCCAAACAGTAACTCCTCTCCTCCTCCCCCCTCCTCACCATCTTCCATACGCCTACAGCACTCGTCAGCAAGGTAAGTAATAACTGGAACATAGTTTTGTAGGTTTATTTAGATGAATTAGGTAAATTAGGTATAAAAATTTAGCTTGATGTGGGGTTTTTGGGGTAGTCAGGAACGGATTAATTCATTTCCCTTTATTTCTTATAAGGAAATTAACTTCGGAATGCGAGTTTTCGGAAGGCGAGGCGTCTCCAGGAACGGATTAAACTCGCATTCTGAGGTATGCCTGTACAGTATAAATGATAACCTTTGTTTTTCAGTGGTTCAATCAAGCCCACAACTGTTTCAAACGTTATCGTCCCAATTCCTTCATAAACTTCAAAATCAAAGATGTAACCAGTATGGGATTCAACTAGCATATAGAGCTTTATTCCATACTTATCAGGTTTATTTGGATTATAAGTCTTGAAAGCTAGACGGCCACACCATGCCATTGTGCCTTCATCCAAACTCAAATTTTTCTGAAGAATGTGTAATGTTTTGAATTTGTGTGTGAGATATTGCATGATTGTTTCAGCTTTGATTAGTCTGGATTGTCTTTTAGAATGGCCTTATTGTGTTATAAATATGAAAATACTTTTAAATCAATTCACATCATTTCGAAGTCATAAAATTATTGAAACAAGGTACATGCCAAAATTGACCTGTTTGCCAGTACATTCCAATCCTTGACAACCTCGAAATGCCCATCAAAATCATCTGTGCCAAAAATCGGGCCATGTCTTTTACACTCACTGGTTCCCATCTATTGCTTGTGTTGGTCACAGTAGGTGCATTGCTTTGGGTAGCATAGAAGTTAATCTCATAGACCATAAATTTCAGCAAACTTTGCATAAGAAAGAATTGTACATATCCCAGAGGAGTGCTAGGTACAGGACAAGTCAAGCCTGGTATTCCTGAAAAGCTGTCCACAAAGGGTGGAGTATTGTCTGTAGACCAGGCTTCATCAGAACACGTTGGTGGGGTAAGTATGGCACCCGCGGTACAAGTTATAATACCATGCCGAGCACGTGTGGCAGTATGAACATCATAATCCTCGTTCCCTTCACTTTCAATTTCATCATCATATGCTGTTTTCGTTTCAATAAATTTACTATCTAAATCACTGTCACTATCAGCACTTTCTATATCAGATAAACCATCAAATATAGCCTGGAATTTTGAGGGTGAGTCTCACCCTACTGTACTTTTGGTGTACACTTCTAGGAGTTCTTCTACTCCCCAAGTCTGGCTCGAGGCCAGGCTTGACTTCACTATCCATCTTGGAGTAAATGCAGAGAGTTATTAAAGCTGCAGTAAGAAATATAGCCAAGGAAAATAGCCGGAATGTTCACATGTTTGGGATGATTGGGGAGGCAGGAGCAGTCACTAGCATGGGACGATAACAATGGGCCTACCTCCTGGGTTGCGCTGTCTCGGTGCCTCATGGGCCATCACAGAAAATGGGAAGATGTTGGTGCCAATTTTAAAACCAGTTCCCAAAAAATCAGATGAAAAACCAGAATTTTAGCAAATTTTGTAGTTTCTGACCTCATACTGCGTCATTCCCGCATATTCCCGGAACCACGTATGAATCAGGACGTATGTGCCAATAAGCATCCTGGAGGTCCAGGGACACCATGCAAGTGCCTAGCTCCATGAGGAGACGGACCTGGGACAGAGTAGCCATCCGGAAGGAGGGGCAATAATCCCACTGGTTCAGACGGGACAAGACTAGAATGAACCTGAGGCTCGCACAGTCTCGTTTCGGAACTGGAAACAGGCAGGAAACAGACTGGAGGGACAAGGTCGTTTCGACCACGCCCAAGCAAACCCACTCCAAGATGACCCAACAGAGTGCAGGAGAAGAGGCTTGCCCCACCAACCCCAAACCTCCCGAAGAAGGAGGGGCCACCCAATGCCAACACAGCCCGCACGAAAAGACCCGAAAGGCCCACAGATCGTGGGACCAGGCGTGAGCAAACAGAGCAAGCTTAACCCCAGTGCCCCGTCAATGGGACGAACCGCAAAAGGGCCGACGCCCCTTATGTGAACCCAACCTCCGCACAGAGCGATCACCGTGCTGACCAGACGAAGACGGTTCCGAAGGCTACTAAAGCTCTGAAACTGGCACCACTGGCCCACCACACTGGGAGGAACCACGAGCCCTGGCACGACTCTTTTGGGAAGACTCATCACGGCCCCCCCCCCCCCCCAGAGAACCAACAAGTCCGATATGGGACGAAAACTGGAAGAAGCCGCCTGCAGATTCTGCACCACCACAGACTCTGCAAACAGCAAGGGACAAAAAGGCGAAGACAACCTAAGAGCCAGGGCCTAAGCGTATTCCAGAAAGGAAGCAAGCACCGCCTGCCAACACACGAGATGGGAAGCAATAAACAGCAACACTGTATCCCGCAGGCAGTGCAAACAGCTACAAAAGAGCAGACGACGCACACACACTACCAAGACCAACAGCCCCAAGCCCAACGACCACAGTTCTGGCTCGTGGTCCCTGGTAGGCATAGAACTCCATGTGCATTGACTGATGCCAGGGTCTAATATATTCATATCAGCCCGGTTAGCTCCAGGGAGCCTCCGGGTCTCACCCAGAAAATGACATTTCATTACATTCAACACTGGTTTTAAGTTATGCCTGAAATGATGTGCATATTAGTAGCTTTATTTAATATGCAATCTCAGTACCTACAAATAACCCACTTAAACATATGTTTTACATATCCTCTAAGTAGTATTAATAATAATAATAATAATTATTATTATTATATTCATAAAATATATTATTATTATTACTACTACTTAGAGCTTACCCTTGGGAGCAGCTGAATAAGATGAATAATTCTGAAAATTCATATTTTTTAATTGTGCTGGCCTTTTAACTGCATGGTTTATATATAATTTCTGTGCAAACATTACAAATAAATCATCTCTCTCTCATACGTGTTAAGAAAAACAAAATAGGCGACAATAGTGAAAAACTTGAAAAATCTTGATAGTGTATAACTGAAATCTTTATTTGATATAACAGGTTCAGTCCCCATGAGTGTCTTAAATTGAGGTTCTACTGTACAGTATTGTAAAGATGGTTAGCCCTCAGTGAGAAAATAACTGCAAACCTGAGAAAGACTAATAACACTCACTGTTCCTAATCTTAACGAGCTTTTCCAAGTGCTGCAATAAGTGCGCCTGTGAGTTCTGGGGAGACGTACTGGGAGGACACTGGAGTTGTCCGTGTGGTGATGCAGAGTTGGGCAGATTACCACTCGCTCCCATTTCCACCTTTCTTATTAGCGATGATCGGGCGTCATCGATTAAAGATATCAATCCTTTGTGCTCTTGCTCTAGTCCATAGAGCTTAATCTTGTTAGCTTCATGCTGGGCTTTTTTCTTTAGACGGCAAGCCCTGAAATGTAAAAAAAAATGGTGTAAGACTTTGCAACTATAAAACTGAAGAAATAGGTACAGTACCTATTTTAAGAGACTTGCAAATTATAATGTTGTGGATACAAGCATAAAGTTTCACACAAAAAACCTTATGCTTATAAACACAAGGGAAAAAGCAGCATAATAATCCAGTGTTCAATGTAATGAAACAACAATTTCCGGTAAGTTCCTTGGTTGGTCCCCTCGAGCTACAGGGAAATCTTCCCAGAAAACATGTTATGTTGAGAACAATTTGTTCAATTTAATGTCATTCAGTAAACTGAAAAGATTTTTCTATCTTCAGAAGCACTTCCCTCTGCTATATCATAAATCATAATCAGCTCAAGTATATAATACTGTACAGTGAGAGCTTGCTAATTCACACTTCAGTAACCCAGATCTTTGGGTAATTCAGCCAGAACTGAGTACAAGTTCTTGTTTACTTAACTTGGACAAAAATCTGTTTTACTAAGTGGTTTTCTGGGAAGGATCCTATAGTGCGCCTTTGTGAGATGTCACCACAGAGAAAAAGAAAAAGTGGTACTCACCAGGGGCAGAGGAGAGGACAGAAAACAACTCCTATGAAAGGGGGAATTAGCAATGGAGTTGATTGCCCCAAAGCCATACATGCCCAGCACAGACTAAGAACAGTCACTAAGTAATGAGCCACTAGCTCTGTTAGGCCACTAAAACCCCCAAACCTAAATATTTATCCATCTTCTACAAAAACATGGACAGAGACACAAACTTATGAACATCATGAACCTGAAGGTAGACTGCAGGCTGGCTAAACTTGTCACACTGCAAACAACTTGAGACAAATGGAATGAAGAACCAGAGACCCAAGATCAGAGGTCTCAGAGCACCCCCCTCCTACTCCCATGCACCAATATTTATTTATTTATTTATTTATTTATTTATTTATATAAAAGAAGGTACATTGGGATTGTGAGGATACATAGCATAGTAATAACATTCTTGTAAAGCCACTAGTACGTGCAGCGTTTCGGGCAGAAATATAGGTGCAGGGGTAAAGGAAAATGGCTGCAACCAGACACAATAAATGATACACCCCCAGCAAGGGGGTGTATCGTATTGTATTGTCTTGTCAGCAAGGCGGACAGCCCGCCTGCTTTCATACCTCTCACTGTATTTCCCACTTCTATACTTCCCTTAACCTATGCCTCTCCTTCCTCTTTACTTAAAAAAAAAAAAAAAAAAAAAAAGCCAAGTTTTTTTTTTTTTTTTTTTTTTTTTTTTGAGATATATACAAGAGTTGTTACATTCTTGTACAGCCACTAGTACGCGTAGCGTTTCGGGCACGTCCTTAATCCTATGGTCCCTGGAATACGATCCCCTGCCGCGAAGAATCGTTTTTTCATCCAAGTACACATTTTACTGTTGCGTTAAACAGAGGCTACAGTTAAGGAATTGCGCCCAGTAAATCCTCCCCGGCCAGGATACGAACCCATGACATAGCGCTCGCGGAACGCCAGGCGAGTGTCTTACCACTACACCACGGAGACTGCAACCAACTAAGTTAACTAAGAATCAATCACCAAAGGACCCCTTCCAGAAATCAGCAATCTCATCCTTAGCCAGAAAGGAAGGAGAGATCTGTAAGTGAAGAAAATGACCACACAGAATCTAAAGAGCAAAAACCCCATTTCTGGAGCAGTGTGTGATGCTCCGCAACCTAACAACTGGAAGTGAGCACTAACAAAAACAAAGCATTAAAGAAATAATCCCAAATCGTAAAAGCAACAGAAAACCGAGGAGAGGAGAGTTTAGTTAATTTATTATGCACCCCATACTAATCCTGTGGGGTAGTAGTGGAAAGGGTTACAGAGGCACATAATGAGCTCAGGAACTGAACTTAAAAATTCATTTAATGAGGTAAGTTACAGTCTTGATGAGCTAGTTACAAATTTTAATGTATATTGTTACATCATCAATGTGCTCGAGACCAACCTAAAATACAGTCTCCAAGCCGAGCAATTTATATACGTGGTGAGCTAGTCGAGCCCATTGATGAGTTAGAGTCATCATATCTTCAGCCATGTTCTGGCCTCTGGTTTCAAGTAGGATTACAATGACTTGCAAGGGCCTGGTGTGGATGGAGCTTTCCAGGTAGTAGTAGTAATCATTAAGGAGTTAAAATAGGAGCCCCTCCCAGTCAAAATAGGATTTGGTGGAATCTCAAGGTGGTGAACTGACGATTCAGATTTCGCCTCATTTCCTTCCGGATCTGAATTTTTGGGGGGAAGTCTGAATTTCAGAGGGGGATATTTGGTGAGCAAAGTTAATCCAATGTTTAGAGGGATCTGGCATACAGAAGTCAGGATTTTCTGCAAAAAGAGCTACACAGCATTTAATTATGGTTATTGTTAAAAATAGGAGACCAAAAAGATAACAATTAATAACAATAGAACATACCGTGATGCCAGTTTATTCTTCTCCTTTCGTGACTTGGGCCTCACATTAAATGGGAGTTCTGACACTGGCGTCATATCATTGATCGTCTGTAAAGAATAAGCATGCAGTCAATAATATTATGTTCCACCTTATGGTTTCCCATTCTCAGGGACAAGAAGCCTGTCAGGCTTATCGAGGTCATCCCTAAGTCAACTACTGACCATTCTCAGGATGCATCCCCAACTGTTGCCTAACTCTTGGGTATCCTATTTAATGTAAGGCGAAAGAAAACATTACCAACCGTCTCAGCCACACCTGGGAATCGAAACCAAGATCCTCAGTTTTGATATGGAAACGTAGACCCCTATGCCACAGGTAACGATTAAAAATTCCTTTCCAGTCAAATTGAGACGCTTCAGGATTCATACATTACATTCTGCACAGTTGTAACATACCTTATTGAGTTTCTCAAGCTCACGGCCAATGTTGACTAATTTACGAGGATTGGGGGTTAGGTCATTGCCATCACCCCTCCGGGCCTTTCCGCTGTGGGTTAAAGATAAGCTGGTGACAATGCAGTGTGATGTAATACTGCTTATTGTTATGACAGTAAATATTGTTACTAGTGTAGAGCCAGAATGTAAGAAGCATTTTGGCAGATACCATAGAATAACTAGTAAAACTATGCAAATAATATTCATCATTAAATTTTGTGAAAGCACAATACACTATAACTCTGGGCTGAATTATCTAATTTTCACTATCAACTTTTAAAGAAGTAGCTCTCAAAGTTTACAAATATAAAATGTGGCAAGCATATGGCCAGTAAGATTTTCTATTTATCACCATTACCCTGTTTCCTACTTTCATGGAGTGGGAAGGCATCAATCCAGAAAATATAAAAGAGTATTGTTCATGTACAGGAAATTATATAATGTATTAAAACAACAGCATTGAATGATAATGTAATGAAACGCCATTTTCTGGGTGAGACCCGGAGGCCCCCTGGAGCTTATCCAGGCTGATATGCTAATGTCAGACTTTGGCATCAGTCATGTGTATGGAGTTCTGTGGGCCTGCCGGGGACCACAAGCTAGAACCTGGCCCCCTCAGAGAATCATGGGGAGCAATGGCCTATAGAAACCCCTGTGTGGTTGGAAGCATTCTATGTCTGCCATCAACCAGGTCAAGCACCCAGAAAGGTAGGCGTCCCAAAACAAGCCCCTATTCTGGTGAAAATTGCTACCAAAAGCCGAACAAGTGGACAGAACTCCCTAGAAAGAAATGAGCAAACGAGCATGACGTCACACGTCATCGCTCCATTGTCTGTGTAGCTCCCCCCTACCCGGGAGGGGAAAGGGGGAGCCCCAGACCCTCGCGTCGGCCATCCACCCTTCAGTTCTGGGGCTGGATATCAAAACACGCGAAAAACCGCCGACCAGGGGGGGAGCGAGAGATACCAGGAGCCTCTGGGTCTCACCCAGAAAATGGCATTTATTACATTCAAAGCTGGTTTTCTGGGGGGAAGCCCCTACAGCTTCCCGGAGCTGTAAGGGTACTACTAGTCAGCCTCTAAAGAAAAGGCCGGTGCAGCCGCGTAAGCCGGAGGGAAGGGGGGCCCACTGGTCAGACCCGGAGGCTGCGGTAGGGAAATTGGACTCGAATGCCTCCGTCGCCACACCTTTAGGGGCATCCCCCGAGACTGCCTGAGTCTCAAGACCATCTAAACCCTGCCCCGACTCTGAAATCTTCAGACGCTTTGGGGCCGGAAGCAGGGGGAAAGGGGGGACCAGAATGAACCACAACAGGGAGAAGGACAAGGGGGTGCGGACTGAACCAACATCGAAGCGACCCACACCCCCAAGTCCGGGTCCCTATAAGCAAAACAGGGCAGCCTCGGGACATCCGGGTGAGCAACCAACCGAGCGCGTTGCAACAACCTAAAGCATTCGTGCAATGCCTGCGCCGCCTGTACTCGTAGAAGATCATCAGTAGACTGGGTAAACAGAGTCACCAACAAGCAACAGAACTCGCAGGATTCCGGGTCAAAAGTGTCACCGACCCAACAGGCAGCGTGACGGAGGCAAAAACAATGAGAGTCACCCTCAGACAAGGGGACCAAGCAACCCTCGAACTCGCATGAAGCGAGGGGGAACTCCGGGGTCACATTCATCAGACCCATGCGCCCCCGTGGGGTTTCCCAGGGTCGTGAAACGGAACTCACGCATAGGGAATCACAGGCAGGGTACTGCTAACCAACACCCAAAACTACCAAGCAACTTTCTAAAGCTGAACCTCAGGGACGTGTACACTCACAGGGACCTAGCAGGGGGTACTACCAGAAGAAAACCGTATTAGGTCAAACACTAAGGGAGGCAAGCAAGGCAGATTCCTCCACAAGGCACAAAAAAAAAAAAAAGCAAGAGGACAACATACCCCAAAGGAACAGAGCCGGCCGCTATGAATGGTGAAAACAAGCTGCGCAGCACCCTGCGCCCCTTACCAGTGCAAACTGCCTCTTACCCTAAGATAAACAAGGGAGACAAAACATCGAAGCACACAAACTGCGGCCGAAAAACCGAGCAGTGAAACAGCCCAGCAGAGGCAGGACCCAAGGAACATGTGGAAGATAACCCCAAGCCTGAAGGGTAGTACTTACAGGGCACCTAGGGAAGGTAACCCTAGGCGTATGCAGCCCGAGTACTGTAGAATAACTCCTGGCTCTTGCACTCCAGGAAGACAGCCACCACACTTTAAGCACAGTGCTGAAAAATCACTGGAGCCAGAGCACACGACCTCTGCCTCTATTATCAGCCTTAGAACTGAAGGGTGGATGGCCGACACAAGGGTCTGGGGGCTCCCCCTTCCCCCTCCAGGGGAGGGGGGGAGCTGCACATACAGCGGCGCGGCGACATGTGACATCATGCTCGTTTGCTCGTTTCTTTTTGGGGAGTTCTATCCACTTGTTCAGCTTTTGGTAGCAATTTTCACCAGAATAGGAGTTTGTTCTGGGATGCTTACCTTTCTGGGTGCCTGACCCAGTCGATGGCAGACATAGAATGCTTCCAACCACACGAGGGTTTTCCATTGCTTCCCATGCCTCTCTGAGGGGGCCAGGTTCTGGCTCGTGGTCCCTGGTAGACCCACAGAACTCCATACACATGACTGATGCCAAAGTCTGACATTAGCTTATCAGCCTGGATAAGCTCCGGGGAGCTGTAGGGGCTCCCCCCAGAAAAAGACATCTACTTGTACGTAAGACAAGCCTAGCTCCAGGTTGGGTTCAGGGAGTAGATGAACTCTCAGAACTAAATCCAGGTAAATGCTAGGTAAAAACCACAGACAGTCAATACTACAAAACTCTAGCAAATTATTTACACCAGTGCTACAATTTGATAAGTTGTCATATATATTTACTTATATTTAGTTTTATGAGTTCAAGTCTCTAAATATGGCCAGGGGCTCAGGCTTATCTTGTGATAACTTGATCACTAAGGCTGTTGTATATAGCTATCTAAGTTCCTCTAAAAATAAATCCACTTTTGTTCAGGCAACATTCACTCCTGCATTAACTGTTGGATATGGATCTGGATGGGGTTCTGGGATTCTTTTACTCCCCAAGTCTGGGCTAGCACCAGGCTTGACTTGTGAGGTTGTTGCTTGGAGTGGTCTGCAGGCCCACATATCCACTACAGCCTAGTTGGTCCACCATTTCCTGCAGAAAACTGTCCAGTTTTTTTTCCATAAGTCTACTGTTGTTCCAGCAATATTGCTTATAGTTACTGGGGAGGATACTGAACAACTGTGGACCTCTCATGTTCAGACAGTGTTTACAGATTGTGCCTCTGCCACCTCTACTCTTCATTTGCTCTATTCTGCATTTTCTTCCATATCATTCACTCTAAATATTTTGTTATTTTATTGTGCAAATCCGAGACCTAGCCCTCCAGCATTTTCCAAGTATATAACATTTGATACTTCTCTTGTCTCCTTTCTAGAGAGTACATTTTGAGAGCTTTGAGATGATCCCAGTAGTTTAGGTCCCTTATCATGTCTATTATGTATGACGTATATGTTCTCTGTATTCCCACTATTTCAGCAATCTCTCTGGTTCTGAAGGGGGAAGTGAGTATCAAGCAGTACTCAAGCCACGTTCCTTCCCACTTCTTGTACAATACTTAATCCCATACTTAATGCACACTAGGTCATGTTTGCGTATCATCTTGGGCTTTCTCTTTTCTGTCCCTCAAATACACTTGCATAAACATATTCACCAATTTGTCATTAGCATTGTCTTCAAAAAAACAAATAATTTCATAATACTCATCTCACTCTTATGATTTACCCACATTTTTATTCTCACAACTTTCCATGACATTTCCATTCCTCACTCGGTCCTCCTGACACCACTCATGCCTCACATATATATGAGTAGGCACTGAAATCCACCAAGACCATGTAATCCTCAGCTATTTTCACATGCTATGTCCACTAGCTATATCAACGCAAACATCTGTCTGTTCATCCTCTTCCAATATGGAAACTATATTTTATCACTGATAAATTATTAAGTATTTTTTGTATTCTTCACATCATATACTTTACCTAAAACTCTTAGTAAACTCATGCATCTATAATTCTTACTCTCACTGCTGTCCCCTTTTTTTTTATACTGTACAAAGGAACAATCATAGTTGTTTTTCCAATCATCTGATACAGTCTTACTTTCATATACCGTCTGGTAAACACTCTTCACCTTTTCTATATCTTGATTTCTGCTGAATTTAATCATTTATGTACAGTACATCTATCAGCAAGGCCTGCAGTTTTCACACATTTCAGCTAATGTATTAATACACTTAACCTTTACATATATTTTTCTAATATTTTATCCAGCACTCTTCAAACACTGTTAAAACTAATAATGTAATGCTCATATTTGCACTCCATTCATCAATTCAACCTAATTCAATCCTTCAACAATCCTAAGTACATAACAATACTCTCTTCACCATAGTATATGAATGCTCATTAACTCTGCAATGTGATGAGGGTGTAGCAAGTGTTGTACTCTACAAAATATTTTTAGAAATACCTGTGTTTGATCCCCTGGATGGAGCAGAGAGGAGAAAAGACTGGATCCATGATCGTCGGCAAACTGTGAGGGTCGCGCTGCTGTTGGTTAATGCTCACACGCTGCCCCTTGGGTCCCTTTGCTTGGACGTTATACTGCCAGAAGTATCGCTCTTTCTTCCCCAGAGAACTTGAGAGACTGCCTGTGTCTTCACTCACTACTGAGTCTGAAAAGTAAAGTGGTAATTGTAAGTGTATTCATAATGGCTAAATTTTGATGGCAAAATCCTGAATTTACCAGAGGGGGCCACTATTTCTAATGGTTTTAGTGAGAACAGGAAGACAGCAGCTTGTCAAAGGTCCCCATCCCCCATTATTTGCTTAATCAAATAATAATTTAGTTACCTTATCCCATTATAAATGAAGAAGTGCTGTATTGCAGAAATGTAAGGACAGTAATTTAAAATTTCATATGATTTTGTATTTTCATATACTGTATAGTATTTAAGACATGGTTGTCTGTACAGAGCTACAGTATCTTAACAAAAATAACCTATTAGCCATATCCAGATTTTCACATCTTCAAAACTCGTAATCAAGAAATAAATCACAAGTGAAGAAATTTCACATATAAGTATCAAAAACATTTAACTTTCCAACTACTGCAATGCGCACCAACACATACAAATGAGAATAACAAAGGCCTTGAGAAAGAATACAAAAGGATAAAACTGTTTTTAATATCAAAAGAAACTGAAACCACTATGAACTGTGTGACATTTGGTATACAAGTTAAGGGAAAACTGGCCTGTAATTCAGTGCCTCTTGCCTGTCACCCTTTTTGTATATTGGGACCACGTTAGCTGTCTTCCAACTTTCTGGTAAGTCTCCTGTTTCCAGTGACCTGTTATACACCATAGAGAGTGGCACACTTAGTGCTTCTGCACCTTCCTTTAGTATCCATGGTGCGATTCTATCAGGTCCAACAGCCTTTGTCACATCCAGCTCCAGCAGACACCTTTTGACCTCATCACTGGTGAGGTCAAAGGTGTGCTTGATCATGGTGTGCTTGATCATTTGGCAAGCGTCAGTGCAAATGTGTTTACTACAGTATATACTGTACAGAAAAACTAATTAAACCAATATATTTACTTTGAATTCAAACACAAAATTAAGAATAATATAGTTGAACTTTACCATTATCAGACTCGGAGTCATAGTGTTCGTTGTCCGATTCATCATCTGAGTCAATACCTTCATCTATGGACAGATCGTGACAACCTGGAGACAAAATGCCTCCAACTGAAACAAAATATGTACAGTATAATTAATGTTATTACCATGCAAAAAGAGTTTACATAAAACTAATTTACATTGTTATAATATTTACCAAATAATATGTCCTGTCTTAGCAAATGCATTCTATTTCAGTTCCAAACAAATAATATTTCTGAATTCTATATTTGTTATGCTTAGTTAAGCAGTATTATATTTAATTAAAACTAAACTAAATAAAATAGGTCATTACAGTATAGTAAATACAGTACTTATTAATGTACTTGTGAATATAAACATCTTAAATCTTTCTTTTATAAAATATATTTTGCCAAAAGATTTCTATTTCTGAAGGAAATTAGGTACGCATACCTGTACTAAGAGATGAAGCAGAACCACCAAATTCTTCTGCCAAAGAACCAGTTGACAAAAGGTGTTGTCTTGGTTCTCTTCTTTGCCATGCTTGTTCTAAAGAAAAGTTTCGAGAAGGTGCCGAGGACGAGAGCCGAGCAGAAAGCAATGGGTTGGCAGCCGAGAGGGAAGTAGGTCGTGGAACGGACTGTCCCATGGGAGGTTCTTGTGGTGATGGCACACCCTGTTGCGAAGATACACTGTTGGGAGAAAGTGGGGCAGACGGGGATCGCAAGAGTAATTCCTGAAGCGCTGATGTAGAGCCTGAAGCCTGATTCAAACTGTGATGCTGCTGAGATATATTTTGTTGCTGTTGATTTGAACCTGGGCACTCTTCTATGCTCCCTAGCTGATTGTTGGCCGGTTGTCCGGGAAATGATGATGACGTGAGAAGTGGATCACGCCAGCCTCCACCTTGAGGAGGAAATGATGAAGCCAGCAAAGAGAACAATGATGTACTCTCTGCTTTAATTGGCTGAGATGATAATGATGTATACATGTAATTGGATGTTGGTGTAGAAAATCCCTTGTTGACACCCAATACTTCATCAGGGTGCACTGACACCATGGTGAGGGGTGAATTTGGTTGATCAATTCCTGTACTGGTATACTGCTCTGGCATAAGTAAATCATCAAAGTTTACATCATCGAGCAAAGCGTCATCTGTTGAATTTAAGCCAAGTGTGTGACCTGGTAGGAAGTCATCAACACCAAGCAGGTCATCTAATGGCTCCAGTTTGATATCCAGGTCAAGGTCCATAGACTGAGGTGGCCACAAAGATGGTGAGTTTGGTCCAATTGGAGAGAGACCACTATTGTCTTGATACATGGGGGTAGAAAAGGTTATGTTGCTATCCCACTGTGGGCCTAAGCTGTTTCCTGACTGCTGATTTGGGACTGGGCTGTGGTCATCCATCTGTAGGACCATTGTGGAGAGACTTTGGAAGTGATGGCCCTGTGGAGGTCTGTTCCCTGGACCTCGGGGAATAGGCACACCACCTTTACCGCAGTCCATCATCATTCCACCGTCACAAAACTCAAGTAGGAAATCACTCTGCAAAAAAAAAAGAAATGTATAAGTATATTAAAATGAAGTATCTGTCATTTAAAAAATCATAATTTCAAGGATAAGATACAACAGTGCTGCAAATTATAACACGTTTTTCACATGACGGTCATGACAGCTAAAGACTTCAAGTTCTGTGTGGTGGGATTTAGTGCTGTGTAGTAATCTCTGAAGATAACTGATATGTCAAATCCAGTAGTTTTCTCCATGCTAAAAAGGTCACATCACTCACAGAAGTTCTGTTTGGCCTATTGTGAACCACAGCCAGAACCTAGCCTCTCACAGATGCACAGGAAGCAAGTGACAATTCCTCACACCACAGGGAAACCATCAAGAAAGTCAACAAAGCATTACAGACAATTGGAGAGTTCACAGAAACAAAGCCTCAAAAACTGCCAAAAAAATCCCCAAAGAATTCACACAACAAGGGATTTAATCAAACTAAAGCAGTCCCCATGGTGTAGTGGTAAGGCACTCACCTGGCATTTCGCGAGCACTTTGGACTAGGTTCGTATCCTGGCTGGGGAGGATTTACTATGCACCAATCTTTAACTGTAGCCTCTATTTACCCAACAGTAAAATAGGTACTGGGTTTTTAAACAATTTGGCGGATCGTATTCCGGGAATAATAGGATTGAGGACTTGCCCGAAACACTGTGTGTGCTAGTGACTATACAAGAATGTAAATAGTCTGGTATATATAAATAAATAAAAAAAATAAAAAACATAAAGTTACTGTGTAGATACTGTAAATCATAACTACCTTTTACTTAAACTTCACCACTCTGGTACCTGAGGCCTAGCTCTCGACTATATTTGTATGCATCTCAGTGACAGACACCAATATGTAGCTATCAATAGCATAACCTCCCCCACATTACCATTGACAGCAAGGGTGCCACAGGGCAGCATCTTGGGACCTCTGCTATTTCTTATGTACATCAATGATTTTCCAAATGTTTCTAACATTCTTAAACCTATACTATTTGCTGACGATACTGCTAGTACCTTTATCAATTCTGACCCAACCCTTACACACTAAATAATACTGTCAACAATGAATTAAAGTCCACTCATGTATGTCAACCAACAAACTTACACTAAACATAGAAAAGACCTACTACATTCTATTTGGTAGTAAATTATCAAATTAGATTCAACTTCAGATAGACAATGTTAACATTTCCAATAAAAATGAGGGAAGTTCCTTGGTCTATACATAAAAAAGATATTGAACTTCAGCACCCACATACAACATAGCCAAAAAAGTCTCAAAAATGGTCAGTATACAGTATTTTCTAAAATCAAATATTACATTCCCGATTCTGTTCTCTTCTCATTATACTACGCGCTAATCTATCCCTATCTTACAGACGGTATCTGTGCATGGGGTTCAACCACTGCAAAGAACTGTACCTAAAGTCCATTGTCTCCCGGCAAAAATCTTCTATCAGAACTATAACAAACTCTGTCTTCAGACAACACACAGCCCCTCTGTTTAAGTCCCTTAACATGCTAGAAATACACTCACTCCACACATTCTCATGTGCTATCTACTTGTACAAAATCTTGTTCCTAAATGCAAATCTTGATCTGAAAATTTTCCTTGATAAGTATTCACCTAGTTGTATTCACTTAGTTGTGTTTGCGGGGGTTGAGCTTTTTGCTCTTTTGGCCCGCCTCTCAACTGTTAATCAACTGTTTACTAACTACTTTTTTTTCTTTTCTTTTTTTTCCCCACACCACACACACACACACACACACACACCCCAGGAAGCAGCCCGTGACAGCTGACTAACTCCCAGGTACCTATTTACTGCTAGGTAACAGGGGCATTCAGGGTGAAAGAAACTTTGCCCATTTGTTTCTGCCTCGTGCGGGAATCGAACCCGTACCACAGAATTACGACCCCTGCGCGCTATCCACCAGGCTACGAGGCCCTGTGTAATAGAACCTATGACCACCACACCAGAAATAAATATATCTTTGATATCCCCAAAGTCAAACATAATCTGTGCCAACACTCCATGCAAATAAAAGGTCCCAGTCTTTGGAACTCACTCCTTGATGAATAACAATAGTCCAACCCATCCCCTGTTCAAAAGTAAAACCAAAAATTATCTAATTTCATCCTCATAGTTTCCTACTTTATGCTTCAAACTCACAATGTATCTTGTACTACCCACTTCCCCAATACAGTATTAGTATTCAAGATATATATCCTTACAAGTGTAATCACCTGTTAACATACATTGTAGTTATTTGTTGATATAAAACCTTGCTATAATGTACCTTTTCATTTTACCTGATTTATTAAGAGTCAAGGACCTGCGTGAAACGCTATACTCATTAGTGACTGCATGAATGTCAAAATACCAGTCTTATGTAATCTCACTAACCAATTGTACCTTCTTGTAAATAAAAATTATTATTATTATTATTGTTATAATAATAACAATATTATTATTGTTATAATAATAATAGTAATATTGTTATTATTGTTATTATATTGTAATAATATTGTAATAATATTGTTATTATATTAATAACAATATTAATTGTTATGGAATTAACAATATTAATTGTTAACAAATGGAATGTACTAGGAAGTGATGTAGTGGACACCATACACAAAATTGAACATGATCACCACATACAAAATTCTCAGGGGAACTGACAGGGTAAACAAGAATGGATTATTTAACATGGGTGGTACACGCACAAAGGGACACAGGTGGAAGCTGAGTACCCAAATGAGCCACAGAGACATTAGAAAGAACCTTTTCAGTGTCAGAGTAATTAGTATATGGAATGCACTAGGAAGTGATGTGGTGGTGGCTGACTCCATACACAGTTTCAATCAGTAGGTTGACGGTTGAGAGGCGGGACCAAAGAGCCAGAGCTCAACCCCCGCAAACACAACTAGATGAGTACAGTTTCAAATGTAGATATGATAAGACCCCTAATAGGCTCGGGAACCTGTACTCCAGTTGATTGACAGTTGAGAAGCGGGACCAAAGAGCCAAAGCACAAATGCAAGAGCCCCCGCCAATGCAATAAGGCGAGTGCCCTAGTACAGGGTAGTTTCCCTGAAACATGACCCCATCTATCTGGTTACTTCATGTATCGAACAAGTCAGTGTTCCCAGGCTAGGACTCAACCCCAAACGAATTCGCTCATAGGGCGATTATCTCTCATAATGTTCTATGTATGTATTATGTGTGTCTGTATATGTATGTCTATGTATGTATTAACACGATGTACTGAACGGGGTGAGCGGTCCGTCTAATTACCACAAGCTACACAAGCTTCAGAAAGCTTCCTGGCAATACGTTAGTAATGAATAAATATGATATATTTACTCATTATAATGTTGGTGCTGAATGTACAACACGAAAAAACATAATTATAATCTGAAAAAGTATCTTTTTATAAAGAAATTAGACGAAAATAAAAAGATGGTGACGCCAAATCAAGTCGACGATCCAAGCTTCGGCTAGGTTAGGTTAGGTTTGGTTTAGTTAAGTTAGGTTAGGTTAGGTTAGGATAGGTTAGGTTAGGTCAGCCTAACTTAACATATCATATTTATTCATTACTAACGTATTGCCAGGAAGCTTTCTGAAGCTTGTGAAGCTTGTGGTAGCTTGTGGTAATTAGACGGACCCGGGGTGAGAATAGCTTGAGCTACCTCATCCCTTTGTGCGTATTTTACCTCAATAAACTTATGTCAATTTCAATTTCAATTTCATAGGGGGAGTTTGCTACCACTACGTCATTGGGCACTAGCTTTCTCAATAAAACACACAAGTAACATTGAGTAATTACGTCAATATGTATCTAATCAACATCCATAAATATCTAATCAATCTTGGCCCTTAAAATGCGCTTAAGAAAGCTATTAAAACTATCTTTTCTCATAGTATCAATGACTTGAATACAAATAAGGATTAGTTGCAATCATTGTATATGGGCCATTCAGCTCTGTGGAGAAATTGGAGGGTTCTAAATTTTCTGCATAAAAAATAACTTAATTGAGCGCAGAATGTTGGGAATTCACGCATCTACCAACATCACAAATGATGAAAACAGTAAATTTGTTAGCAACAATGAAAATCTTGTATAACATTTTCAAAGTGAAATATCAATATATGAAAACTTACCATTAACTAAAAGTAATTAGTGATTAGCCTATTGATAACCACTGAATTTGAATGCAACATATTGTTCGTCATGCACACACAATATACACACATGTGCTCTTATTTAGTGTATATACACTGAGTTTACTGAAGCACTGAACTATATTCTGGCCTTAATATTCCTCCAAGGTTGATGGGCCTTAACCCCAAACCAACCTATGTTTGAGTATATTGTATAAGAAGTGCTTATTTTGATTGTAATTCTTACTGTACATGTGCGTTACAAAGCGTTTTTGTTTTTTGTCCTTATCCAGTCAAAAGTATCATATGACTGCTATGAATCCATAAATGTGTAATTTATATTGTCTTATGAATCCATAAATGTGTAATTTATATTATTTACTATAACTAAGACAAGATGGATGGCATGAGAGAAATGCTGTACATGTATCTTCAGCATTGTTTTAGGACTGGGCAAAAGTTCAGAACAAGGATGTGATCTCTGCTATAAGGCACGTCGCATTTCTAGACAAGACCAGCAGCATGAATGAGCAATCGTCAAGGATAGGTGTCTGAGGCTCTTGTTTATGTAAAGCAGAGACCCAGTACAAGGTGCAACCCCACGCCACCATGATTGCAAAACCTGCAGAGGGACATACAAGGCTGTGCATGGTGCAACCACGATGTTCATACCGATGTTTATTATATTTCGGAACAGCTTTCCTCAAAATGAATAACGCTGCCCCTGAGCCAAGGGCAGGTTCATGGAAGCAATTAATAAATCAACAAAGCATTAGAGGAATGGGAAACGTGCCCAACCATTTCAGTCCCGCCCAAGAATCAAACCCT